TTCCTAGTCCGACTATCCGGAAAGACTGCCAGTACATCTCGGGGAAATGTCCCGTTTCTTCTGGTAAGGGAACCAATGCGGTAAGCCGCGTCTATAATAGGGGCAACGTTATCTTCTAAGTTTAGTGCTCTCGTTAGCCAGGTTGCTAAAAAAATTCTAAGGTCTGACTCACCCTCCTCTTTTTCGGGCAGCCCGCGGAACTTCAGGTTCTGCTCTTTCGCCTTATTTTCGAGTAACATAATCTTGTTTCGAGCCCAATCTTCCGACTTCTGGAGGTCCTGGATCTCTTGTTGAGCGGTAATGGCGCCTTCAAGCGCTGTTTCTGCAGCTTGTGCTACTTCTGAAAGAGTTTCTTTCATCGATTGAAATTCCTCCGTCAGTGGTTTTATTGCGGAATGCACGTGGTCAGCAATGTTTTCTTCTAGTTGTTTTATAGTTTTAAGAAATTCATGGCGGGAAAGTGTCGTCCCGTCGTCTTCTGGATTAGGTGCGTCAGCCATCTTAGGAGTAGTTGATGCCCAATTGTCGACAGGGCCGTTGCTGTCTTTAGAAAAGAATTTCGACATCGGTGTTGATGCCACAGAGCTTTTTTTTGCCTTTGCGGGTAGGTTTCGTCCCATATTGATCTGAAGGTGTTTGTCAGTAGAATTTGAAGGAGTATTTTGAGATTAAAGGCAGGTAGGGAGACGGAGCCGAGCTAACATGCGACCATCTCCTCGGCTCGCTTAGCCACGCCCCCCCTCTGTAGGATTTTTATTCCAAAGGTTAAAAACAAGAAGATGAGATCATCTCACCCGTGTATACTGTCTTGAGCAATTTGGAGGAAGAGTGGGATATAATTGTGAGGAATGACTGAAAGAATGAAAAGCTGGTGGAGTATTTTGAGATGGGAGCAATGAAATGGGCAGAAGGGACCAGCAACTGGCATTTTGAAATAGGAAAGGCTAGTAGCAAAAGAAGCAGATTTAGAACAATCTGCCTTCAACATCATGTGCCCTGAAAAGTATGGAAGGTAGGCATTATTAGCCTTCATACTGTGACTCAGTAGGACAGTATTCAGTTTAACTACCCACCTAGAGAGAAGATCTCCCACAGGAGGACTCCAAATGACCAGACATCACTCTGTGTGGTATAGACTTTGTCAAAGATGCTTTCTGGAGCCATCCACTTTAGTGGGAGGCGGGCCTGTAGAGATAAAATAAATGTGCATGGCTGTTACATTCCAAATTAAAATTAATAGCAACAAAAGGAGAAAAATCACAAAAAATACAAAAAATCTATGGTAGCTCATGTACAAAGAAAATGAATCGAGTACAATAAGGTATCCATTTAGGAACACTGTGGGATGGATGGATGGGCCTTATTTACTTTCCAACTCAAAATAGTTATAAAAACTGTTAAAAATATTTCCATTACAAACAGAAAACTTATATTTGGGCTTCACTTATTACATCCTGATTAATAAATAAGTCTTAAAATGGGACACCCTATGTTAGGAGTATGACCTACAGGATGGATTGTTTTAAACATCTAGTTCATGACCTTATCTTGCTTTGTGTTGCCTGGTGATTCTGAAGCAGAGAGCTAAAAAAATTCCTGATGTTGGTTCAGTAATATGAGTGTTGCGATATTTATATATGAAAGTTAGCAGGGGATAACTGTGAGCAAATGCCGTTATATGAACTAGGCTTTGATTCACTTGTGGATGTACATAAAGGCAGCGAAACATAAAACATTTTTTCAGGTGAGGGAAGGATGATGATTACTGTGGGTGACAGATAAGATCTAGAATATTTACATGATGGAAAAGATAACCGATCGATTGTTACAATATGAACTCTTGCCTAGATGCTCAGATTTCACTGAGAAATGGTACCCTGTTCTAGATTACATATATATATATAAAATCATAACTCTAAACTCTTCAACCCTTTTTAAAATCATTGATAGTTAGTAAAAGGCTTTTATTGCTGAAATATTTATAGACCTTTAATATTTAATAAAAATTCATTTAGTCTCTCTAGCATTTATATTGTAATATACTACCTTATTACTATTCATAGGAAACTTAGATTAAGTATTCTTCTTGTAATTTACCTACCATCTAGATACTCAAGTGATACACGTAACCTTCAAGCTTATTATTATTGAATTTAATTACTAATCTATATGTTGTTATTATCTGTTGTTCATGAATTCAATAAAATGTTGTCTATGAAAAATCTGGTAGCCATATTATCATGGCACTGCTAAGGACTATTGCTTATTTCTTATACTGAATAACGTGTCTCCAACAATGTTTTCAGTGCCAGTGAGGTACATAATTCAAAGCTTCTTAGTCAATTTATTCTTCTGCTACATTTCTTTGTGTATCAGTTGTAAAACAGATAATAAACGGGTTTTGCAATGTCCATTAAAGGTAAAGGTTCCCTTGCTCGAAAGCCAGTCGAGTCCGACTCTAGGGTTGTGGTGCTCATCCCCGTTTCAAAGCCGAAGAGCCAGTGCTGTCTGAAGACGGTTCCGTGGTCATGTGGCTGGCATGACTAAACACCAAGGCGCACGGAACGCTGTTCCACCAAAGTAGTACCTATTTATCTACCTGCAATTTCTTGCTTTCAAACTGCTAGGTTGGCAGGAGCAATGTCCATTAGTCACAAGCAAATAAATAACAACTGACTCCTGATTGACTATCCCTATATCTAATACTAAAGTTGCTAGAGCTTGTTTGGATGACAAAAGATGTAAAACCAGGCCATTTGCAGACAAGGTACAGGTCTCTATACACATGGGGAACACCAAAGGCATGCTGAAAAATATGATTTGAAAATTTACCAAAAGGGGCAAAGGCCATTAAGTCAGACTGAGAAGGATTGAAAATGTTGCTGGGGGGGCTGAGCAGACAAGGTACAGGTCTCTATACACATGGGGAACGCCAAAGGCATGCTGAAAAATATGGCTTTGAAAATTTACCAAAATGGGCAAAGGCCATTAAGTCAGACTGATAAGGATTGAAAATGTTGCTGGGGGGGCTGAACGTTGAGAACTCAGCGTGTTCAAGCCCCTGAGAGCTTAGAGAATCCCGGAAGGGGAGATTTTGAAGTATGGCATGGGATTTCCAAATTGTCCATCACCCCACTCTTCACAATTCCTTGTGGACACCAAACTTCTACATGTCCAACTCAGTTCCAGTTCTACTGTCCCATATCTATCACCCAGAACTCACACTGCCCTTCCTGACATAATCAGGATCCTTGTAGATGTCCCGTGCCAGCCCAAAGTCACAAATCTTGACCACATTGTTTTCTGACAGTAAGATGTTACGAGCTGCCAAGTCTCTGTGGATGCACTAAGGGAAAACAAGAAAAATAAAATAAAAAAGAGTCCTAGAAACTGATTTGGAGTGACAGAGATCAGAGACAATGAACAACTGCAGGAATCTCTTGAGTCCTTTTCTCTTAAAGAAGTAATTAAAGCAAGACACTGATGCTTTGAAGCTCTTCAGAACTGATTTCCTCTGGAGTATTTAGCCAGCTCTCCAGTTATCCACTTGCTCACAGCAAGCATCGGTTCCTTTTGGGGAGCAAGTATGTTGCTAGACCCCATGCACAGTTGTCACGTAAACAGACAGGTAATTTTAAAATTTATCTGCATCAAGTTTGTGTTAGAATTTTTATGCCAAATATGTACACAAGAGTGATCCAGTACACTTTCAAAAATCGTTTGACAAAGGGTCTAAATATACATCACATTATCCTTCCTGGGTCCACAACAAGTATTTTTGACTGGACATGTCTTGAAAGTGTGAGCCTGATTTGGGTCAGAAACCCATGAATGAGGAGAGGGGGTTAATCCGTCCGCACCATTTTCCCATCCTGAAATGACCCTGGGGGGAGAACTTACATGTAGCTTTCAGTACATTTAAGTTTCCCAGCAGGCCAAACACTGACTCCCCTGGGCCATTTCATGTTGGGAAAACAGTACGCTTCTCATATGCTGTTGACCCAACGCCCACTGGGTTCCTGCTTGCCTGGGAACTGGGTTTTAAGAAGGGCCGGCCCCAGGTATTTTTGCACACTAGGCGAGACACCTTATGCCCCCCCGTGCGTCTCCCCATTTCTGGCACCCCCATTCTTGCGCCCCCGCAGCTGCCTGGGTCATCCCTCCTTCCCTCCAAGCAGCCCCACTTGGGCACCTCTTTCAGAGGTCGGCCCCAAGGAAACCCGCCCACAAGGTCACCACTGGAGAGATCACCGCCAGAGATCCACCCACAAGGGATGCCCCCCCGATCCCAGCGCCCGCCTGGGCTCATGAGCTCTCCAGTCCTGCTGGCAGCCACCTGCACCGGCTGGCCGCAGTGCCTTGCCAGCCGCCCATCAGGCCCCTGAAGCCCAGACGTGCTCACCTTGGCCACCACTGCTGCGCAGGAGAGGAGCCTTCGCCACCGCCTCCTCTACCAGGCCCCCCCGGCCCAGCCTCTGAGCATGCACAGAGGGGGTGCCCATGGGCCATGCAGCTCGGCCAGGGCTGGAGAGGCAGGGCCGGAGGGGGACAGAGACTGCCCGGGGCGCGGGGGGAGGCACGGGAGGGGTTAAAAGCTGAGCAGAAACTTTGCCGCCACCGCCTACCTCTCACTCCCCCCTCCCCCTGTTTTTTCCTCGCCGTCGGGATAGAAGCAGAGGCCGGCTGGCGCGGGGGATCATGGGCTGCAGCTGCCTGTAGAAAAGGTTTCCCTTGCTTGAAAGCCGGCTCGCCCCAGCCCGCTGTCCCCACCAGACAGCCAGGATTCATGCCCCCTGCCTGGCTGCCACCGCCTCCCACAAAGGCCATCCTGGGGCAGCACGGAGAAGCCCGAACTGCTGCCCACCTCTCTGCCGCAATGCTGAGCCCGGACACCTTCCCATGGAGGGAGGGAGGGAGGAAACGCACTGGGGCTGCCCGCCCGGGGGAACACCGGCACTCCCGGCTCCAGCAGCAGCAGTGCGAGAGTTGAGAGCAGGGCTTTTGGTGGGGAGGGGGGAGAAAGAGGCAGCGGCTGGGGTCAGGAGGCGACGCAGCACGCAGGGCTTTTGGTGGGGGGGGGCTTTTGGCGGGGCCCCCGGGTGCAGTTTGGCACCCTAAGGGTTGGCCTGCCCTAAGCAAATGCCTAGTTCACCTAGTGAGTGAGCCGGCCCTGGTTCTAAGCACAGAACTCACAAGGCATGTCTGATCAAAAAACCTTGTGGTAGACTCAGTGAGGACGTAAGGTTAAGATAACTGTTGTTATGCCCACAGTTTGTCACCAAACAATTCTGATTAAACATTATAGTAGCATGACAAGAAAGTACATTTTCTTGTGGATCAGCAACCAATTAAGGAACAGGAAGTACATAGTAGGAGTTAATGATTCATTCCTCAAAAGAGAACAGTAAGAAAATAATCCCCCAAGGACCTGTATTGGGACACGTGCAATTTAACATTAATAAATAATCTTTAGTTAGGGGTGAGGTAACTAATTTTGCAGAAGACACTGGAATATTCCAGATGATGAAAATGCAAGTAGGCTATGTAGAGCTTCAAAAGAACCTCTCCAAACTGAGTAACAAAATGGCAAATGAGATGCAATGTACACAAACGTAAAATGCAGACTATGAAGCAAAATATTCTAACTTCACATATACAAGCCTGTTCTTATGACGTCACTGAATCATAAATGTTCTGTAAAAACATCTATACATAAAAGGTGTGTCAGAATAAATAAATAGAGTGTTTACCTTTCTGGATGCCAGAAACTCCATACCACGGGCCACCTGGAAGCTGTAGCAGATCAGGTCTTCCATTGTCAGAGGACTTTGCCACAAATCATCCACTGTACAAAGGTGTGAGAAAGAAGGTTACATTTTGGAGATCAGCAGCAGGGAAAAAGGGTACTTCCCTTAGGCAACAGAGATTACCCCAGAGAAATTTTAAATTTGCTGGCATCAATGCTAGTCTAGGATGCAAAAGTAGGGAGAAACTCAGAGGATTAGCTAGATTCAGTGATGGCGAGTAAGCCCACAGTTAAACGGGTTTAAATTTAATTGAATTAAATAACACTCAAGCACATGTAGCAGTGCCAACATTAAAACTATTATTGTTTATCATTTGGTATTGTTACAGGCATGAAATGATTTCACATGTGATCAAGTCTCCCTGAAACAGATGTCTCCACATAAATGGCAAGGTAGCACTTGACACTCAGGGTGCCAAGAATTTCTAATCTAATTATGAGAGGCAATAGGGTGTATACAGAAAACTGAGACCTACAGAAAGTTAGGTGAAATCTTATATCATTGTGATTAGGAATAAAGAATGGACTAAACATGTCACTCTTAGGGGTGTCTGTTTCAGTAACTGACCAACAGAAGAATTTACTTTTTATATTTTTTAAACCAACATGCAACAAAACTGAAGTGTTAATTAGTTGTTATTACAGGAGGTCTATGAAAAAAAACTCTGACTGCTTTTAAATCTGCAAACAGCTGCCACAAGAAGAAGAAGAGGAAGATGAGGAGGAGATTGGATTTATATCCCACCCTTCACTACCCGAAGGAGTCTTACTTTACAATTGCCTTCCCATATGACTCCAAATAAATTAGCTAAGATCTATCCTGAATTATTAAATGATTGTTGGAAATGTCATAATAATGTTGGTTCATTTTTTCATATGTGGTGGACATGTGAGAAAAGTAAAAAATATTAGTCTTGGATACGGTTACAAAAAATGTTGAAAATTACTGTGCCTTATACACCAGAACTGTTTTTGTTGACTATAACTCCAGAAAATTATAAGAAACAAGACTTTTATCTTATTATACATATTTTAACAGCAGCAAGGATGTTTATATGCGAAATATTGCAGAAGAATGGAAGTACCTACAAAAGAAGATGTTATAGCCAAAATATTGGAAACTGCCGAGATGGATAAACTGACTATGATACTAAGAAGAAATAATAAAGAAGACTTTGAAAACACATGGTAAAGATTTTATGATTGGATAGAAGAAAATAATAACTAAAATGCCTGGACTTCTAACCGAAACAAAAGGAAATAAGAAATTAAGAATCATAGATGTAATCAGGGCTTTTTTTGTAGAATCCAATCTCTTCTTCTTTTTAACTTCTGAGGAACTGAGTAGCATAATAGTTAGTCCAGACGGGGGGTTACTCTGGGCTAGCCCATACTAACCCCTGCTTGGCCAGAGTGGTAAGTTAAATGTCAGCTGAATCCAATCTCCTCTTCTTTTTAACTTCTGAGGAACTGAGTAGCATAATAGTTAGTCCAGACGGGGGGTTACTCTGGGCTAGCCCATACTAACCCCTGCTTGGCCAGAGTGGTAAGTTAAATGTCAGCTGAATCCAATCTCCTCTTCTTTTTAACTTCTGAGGAACTGAGTAGCATAATAGGCCACACCCAACAGCAGAAACTCATTATCACATTAGGCCACACCCTGACAGCACAGCTCATTAGTATATCAGGCCACACCCCCATGTCTTCTCTTGGCTTGCCTGGGCACCCCACGGCTGTGGGGAGCCTGGGAAAGCCCCCCCTTGAAGGGAAGGGAAGGCAGTTTAAACTGCCTTCCCTTGACTTGCCCGGGTGTCCCACAGCTGCAGAGAGCCCGGGCAAGCCGGCCCTTGGACAGGCTTGGGAAGGCACGGGGAGACATTTAAATACCTCCCTGGACTTTCCAGGGCCCCCCTGCCCCCCCACCGTGGAGTTGCTGGGGGGGGGCTGCTCTCCAGGCCTTCCCTCTGTAGCCACACACAGAGAGGTTTTGGCTGTAGTGGGCATGGCCAGCTCTGAAGCCAGCCGGAACTCCATTCCTGTGCGTTCCTGCCCCAAAATAGCCCTGGATGTAATTATTAATAAAAAGTATGTAATATAATGGTAAGATGGAAAAAAGTAACAAGAATTCTAGACTACAATAAGATAGCAAAGAGACTGGTTAAAATGTTATAGTTACAATCTCCCTTTTATGTGTATGTTTGTTGTTGATTTTTGTTTTTTTGGTCTTATAACATCGAAATAAAAATACTTGAAAAAAAACACAAGCCTTCCCCGCCCCTCCCTACAACAGACACCCTGTGAAGCAGGTGGGGCTGCGAGAGCTCTCTGGAGAACTGTCCTTGAGAGAACAGCTCTGAAAGAACTTATAACTGATGCAAAGTCACACCAGCAGCTGCATGTGGAGGAGTGGGGAATCAAACCCGGTTCTCCCAGATTAGAGTCCACAGTCTTAACCACTAAACCAAACTGGCTCTTGATTTGAAATGGGTTTGTGTCATCTGGGGGCTAATCCCTCTGCTACCACCACTACCCGCCCCCTGCCCCGACTACTATTTGCCTCACAAGAAAATCATACAAGTGCTACATGGGCACCTAGATACAGAACATGTATTCTACCCCTCCCCCCCAGCAAATAGCAGTCCTGGTGTAAAAGCTGAGATCACAAAAATGAAGCAGGGAAAAAGGTTGCCCCTTCCATTCTCATTCCCCTGTACAACTTGTTCCTGAGCAGAATGCCCTGGTTGCTATCTCTTTTCCCAGTTTTAAAAGCAGCAAGAAATCCATTAAGCTCTGAGCCACTGCAGGATGTTGTCCATTACAATTCAGTAGCCTTATATCTGGAGCTGGGGCATATTTCCTTAGCTTGATTGGAACCTAATTCTTCAAAGTTTTTTATAGTCTTGCAGTAAAAAACAGTGTCCCAACAGGAGAGGCAGGAGGTTGTTACGTTTAACAAAGCTTTTTTTTCCTACTGGAGAAAGGATTGAGAAACTAACAGAAAAATGGGGGAAATATTTCCTCTTGGCTCAGGGTGGTTCTCCCCTTCTTGGATAGAAAGTGTGCTTTGGACAAACATAGTCTCACACTTTCCTTTGTCTTTTGCATCCAAAACCAGACAAAAGTGAACACAATTCATTCCGTTGCTGACCTAACCCTAACTCTTGGGGGCTCATTAGCATAAAGATTAAGAACTCCTGCAAATTTTCTTTCAGTTCCACCAGTTCTCCCTTAACATTCTGTGTGATGGTACCCTGACAGAAAAGTCTAGATATCTACAGACACTGCATAAATCTTTTTACCTTCTGGTAGGAGAGGAGGAGGTGATGGCGGTGCTGGCTGGTTCTTGTTCATCAGAAGTCTATTAAGAATTGCACTGTCACTAGTACCAGAACGGCTCCTTCTGTCAGCTCTGACAGCTTCCACAATCGATCGAACATGGATGCGCAATCTGGGAGACTTCTCCTAGAAAGGAGATCAGACCATAAAAGCTGAAGCTTAGCCACTACAGTCATGTAAACACCATAAGCACCCCCCCCCTCAGATTAGGTGAAGCAGTCTAGAACCTCTAACCTTTGGCCAGCATAAGGGATTCAGGGACTAACTGTGAAGGCAGCAGACTCATACCTCAGAATGAAGATGTGTCACAGAGCTATACAGCGGGACAATTTATAACTGAGGAGCAGTAGTAGGGGAGGGAAGCTAAACCTTTCCTCAGCTCACTGTTTGTTCTCCCACAACCCCTTCCCTCCAGCTGTTTTCCTCTTGAGCAGGCACTGAGACTGCAAGGAAGCCTAGAAGGGACAGATGCAGCCGAGGGGTGGTGGTTTTGGAGGAAAAAGTGGAGGGCAAGGGATTTCAGCATTTGTCTTCTTAATGCTACTCATGTACTTTAAATTATTTCCCCCCCCCACATAGTTAAGTAGTATGACCCACTCCTAAGGCATAGATTTTGCCCGGTACTTCAAGTTAGCCCATCATGTTTGTTCAATTGATCAAACGATACTGCACACAGCAGATCTAACTTTTAAACATGTGGCATGTTTTGATCATATTCTCTGGTCTAACCATACCAAATCTACAGTGCACATATAATCATCCTGTATAATAGCAATGGCACAAAATAGTCTCAATATAATGTCAGTCACATACTCTGTAAGGACTGAATCCTTCTCGTTTGGTTCGCAGATAATTGGAGAGGTTTCCATATTTGCAGAATTCAACAATAACCATCAGGGGACCTGTGGAAGAGAAGCCAAGAAGAAAGCATGTTCTACAGGCAGAAATAAGTAAAGCTTCATGTTGCTGATTCATGCATTTTTGCATTTATTTACTGATATCCCACTTTTCTCCCCAGTGGGGAGGACGATTCTTCCCATCGCCATTTTCTCACAGCAACAATCCTGTGAGGCAGATCAGGCTAAGAGAATGTGACTGGCCCAAGGCTACCCACTGAGCTTTCAAGGCAGAAGTGGGGATGAGAACTTGGATCTTCCAGGATTCCAGTCAGACACTCTGTCTACTGGCTCTCACCCTTAAAGCTTATTGGACAACTTGGAGCAAACTGTCCTCTCTCAGCTGCCTAACCTACTGCACTGGAGGAGAGATAACAATGTATACTCCCCTGAGCTCCTTGGATGAAGGGTAGGATAAAAATGTAATACAGATTTTTCATACATACAATTTTTTTTTGTATTTTGTGTGTATTTGTGTGTGTGGGCCTGGAAGTCGTGGTTGACATCTGGAGACCCCCTAGTGGGGCTTGGACGTTTCAAAGAGGTGGCTTGCTATTGCCTGCCCTGTGTCCCAGTCCTGGTATTCCTTGGAGGTCTCCCATCCAAGTACTTGCCAGGGTTAGCAACCTGACAATGCCATAAATTCTGGTATGTGTGGTGGAGAAACCAGTGCACGATCAGATAGCTCTTGTAACATTTTTTACATCTCTCATTAGCCATCAAACAGTGCTGGTCCAAGGACTTTTGCTGCCCTAAGTGGAGAACAACTTTGCTGTCCTCCCATGCCACAGGGAAGTGACTGTGCACCCACCCGACTCTGTGCCAAGGTACAGTGAGAAGCTGTTGTGCCCATCCCCACACTATGGCAGGAAGTCATGCCCATTAGGGATGCAATTTACCTGGGTGGGGGCAGAGATGGTCTTGTTGCCCACCATTGCTCTGGGAGCCAGTGGAAGAGGGGGAAAAATTAAAAATCACTGTTGGCATGATGGCGTCATGCCACTTTCAGAGAAAACCTGGAAGTGACATTACTCCACTCTAGGAATTGGCAGAAACTCTGTGGTAAAACCTGGGTTTTCTCCCAAAATGACATAATGCCATTGCACTGACAGACCCTCCTTGTCCCCAACCCCAACTCCCACTGGTTGCCTGGCAACCCTATTGGCTGGCAACCCTAGTGCCCATTCTCCTTGCCCCTTAGTACCATCATGAGTTGGTGAGGGGAGATAGGAAGCCACTGCCCATCCGCCTCACCACTTGGAGAGGAAAGGTGGAGGGAAGGAGGAAGAGGGCTGCCCAACCTGAGTTCTGCCCTGCCCCCAACAGACAGACAGGAGGGACAGAAAGAGCAGGCTCCCCATGGCTGTTCACTGAGGCTGAGGGGCTTCTCCCAGGAGTGCTGCTTGCTGTAGCAGCCTCCAACACTATGGGAGAGTGAGGAGACAAAAGGGGTGATTGGCCACTTCTGCTGCCCTAGGACTTCCTAGTGAATGGGCCAGCCCTGCCATCAAAGCATATCAAGAAGATTTACCATTAGGTTTGGTGCAGGCACCCAACAGGTTAACGACATTGAGGTGGTTTCCTATGTGGATAAGGATCTTCAACTCCGACATGAGTGCCTTGTGCTCACTTGCAGTAGCTCCCTCTGCAAACATGAAAACAATGTTGCCATTACCTCTTAATTACAGCTCCTAGCTTCACCTTAGATATAACCTTGTTATCCACTTAATCTACTTTCCTTAAAAATATTAGGGTATAAAATGCACACACACACATACATATAAAACAATACCTTGCTTGCTAAGACCCTCCACCAGAAGCAAAGTACAAAATGCCATGGCCCAAAACACCGTCCCTCCACCTTTAACATCCAGCATGAAGAGTCCTGGAGAACCTAAAAACTCGTACTGTGTTTTGTGCAATTTTGTTGTCATTAATAAAGGCTAATTATTACATGGGTTTTGGATTTTTCTCAGTACAGCACAGCTACTTGGAACTTCAGTTGCTCATAGAGAGCTTAATATACTCCACAATAATTGATTAAAATATCTATCTCTTGCCTTATGATGTCCTCAAAGATTAGAAAGTTGCAAAAGAAATTACACCAAAAGCCAATCCAGTCATTAAATGCCATAGCTCATAGTGTGCAATGCAGGATAGATTCAGCCATAGGACTGCCAAAACACCTTCATTTGCTACCCCCATTTGCCTCCTAAACACCAATTTCCCTCAGGAGGGTATTCCACAGTCTTGGCGCTATCACTGATGACTAGACTGTAATGGCAGGCTCATAGAAAGATACTCTTCATTTTATATTATTTTTAGGAGGGAGAAAAGAATAGTCTCTGCAGCTACACAGAACTGGCAGTATCTCCAGGCATTAAGTGTATTATTTCTTTATGCTGTCTATCATGACAGCACAGCACAGTCTTTGTTCTTCAAAGATTTTCTTCTAAGAATACTGTACAATATAGCTGTAATTATACGTTCCTTGGTCCTTCTGGGGGTGTCACTGCATTGCTGTTGCAGGCTAGCAGAAGAAAAAAAAAGTAGCTTATCCCACACAAGCAAATATAACTGGAGTCTGTAAGGGCCCCTTTTGTCCTACAGTAAAGGACTGTGCGGGATACATATGTATGAGCCCATATAACATTAATTGGGGGAATTCAACAAAGTCTCTTCCTGTGTAGAGACCATGCAGATCGGAGAGTGGGATTGTATCTGTTCACCCTTGTAATAGATGTGCCCCATTTTGATTTAAAAACACATGAACTATGGTAATAAATGTGTTTTATAGAGAGAGGAACTCTTGACAGCCATATTCCAATGTAACAGCAACATTCAGCGGCCCTGGAGGTAGAACAAAAGACACCCGTGGGCTCCACACAGAGCTGGAAGGTTAGGATTTCAAAAGGTCTGAATGTTCCTAATTATGATTGAAGCATATGGGGTTGGAGCTTTCTGATGGATTTCATACCCACAAGTTAATTTTGATGAATAGCACACTAAATGCTCAAAGGGATAATAGAAACAGCTGCTGCGCAAAGGCTGTCACCTGGAGAATCTGAGCAGTTAACCAGCAGCTGTCCATTTTGCTAACAGTTCTGCTGTTGTCATTTACATCCGTTTTCTTATTATGATCAACAGCTCTGCTGTGGCTAAATTTTCTCTCTCCTGTAATCCCTGGGAGTTATAGCACTTTATTATTTCCTCTGCTCCTTATTATTTTGCAATTTGTAATAGTAACAACTCATTGCATTTATATTTTAAAACACATTTGAGTTTGAAGCTACAGGTTGTATACACTTAACTCAAATGAGCATGTGTTTCTATGCATAAGTTGTCTAACTCTTGTGGAACCTCAGCCCAAGGCCTGGCATAGAAGCTAGTAGTACTGCCATGCCAAGCCTCTTCCACTTCCCCCATGCATCACAGCTGAACCATGCAAGGGTTTTCATGAAGTGGTATATGACAGATAGGGTTGCCAGCTCCAGGTTGGGAAATACCTGGATATTTTAGGGGAGCCTGAGGAGAGGGGAGTTTGGGAGAGGGGAGGAACTTCAATGGGGTATAATTGCTATAGAGGCCACCTTTCAAAGTGTCCATTTTCTTCAGGGGAACTGATCTCTATTGTATGAAGATCAATTGTAATAGTGGAAGCTGGCAACCCTAAAAAGGACACTGGAATTTTTTTCCTTATTATTAATTTTTTTGCTGCAAAGTGTCCACTAATTTATGGTGATGCTGTGGGGTTTTCAAAGCAAAGACTTTCAGAATTGGTTTGCCATTGCCTGCCTCTGTTTAGCAAACCGGGTCTTCCTTGGAGGTAACCCTGCTTTAGGGTTGCCAAGTCCTACCTGTTACTGCAGCAGGGGACTCCCGGCTTGCTTCTGGAGTGCACGCGCGTGCGCGAAGCACACGCACGCCACAACCACGTCACCCGGAAGTGACGCTATCACGCCAGGCATGCTGGGGGCGGGGCCACGACCATCCGAGGGAAAACCATAGAGTTTTCCCTCGGATGATCGTGGGCCTGCGCCCAGCGTGGTCGCGCCACTTCTGGGTGATGTGCATGTCACGTACTTTGGGGGTGGGGTTCCCCCCGGGGCCTGATCCGCCAGCAGTGGGGAATGGGCCTCTGGGGCGGGGGTTTCCCCGCCCCCGGGGGATTTGGCAAGCCTACCCTGCTTAGATTCTGAGATCTGATGACATCGGGTTGGCCTGGGCTATCTAGGTCAGGGCAGGCCACAGATAGGGTTAGAAAAAGGGCCAGCAGCTACTTCCAGGCTGTTAACTGCTACTGAACTCAGAACAATGACAAGACTTCCACAATAAATATTCAGGATTCAGCATCTGCTTTAAAGAAATGTTATAATAGCCCAAGTCTCTGAAATAACCAGGGGATTTTGTTTCTTTGCTATTTAGTAGAGTCCAAGCACTGAATTACAAAGACTTATATGTTGAAATTTAAAAATATTACTTTCATTAGCAACATCTGTTATTAATTTAAAGATTCTAAAACCATTTTATAAAACAAGACTTTTCCTGGCCATCAGTGTTCCAGTTTGCCAATTACAGTTGACAATATTAATATTTGTGATTATGGACAAAATAGACGAGCTTTATGTATTTTTATGTCCTTGGTATAAAGTTAAAATCCCCCCCCTTTTCTTGGCACTATCTTATATCACTACCAGGGCTGGTGTTGGGATTACCCATGAGCTGCAGAAGGCCCAGGGTACCAATCAGAGATGTTAGCCCACCTCCCGTTTCCTTACAGGAAGTGTCTTGTGAAATCAGAGATGACAAAGCCTCTCCCAGCTACCCTCTCTCTCAAGAAAAGGGAGAGTGCTCCAGAGGCTTCCGCAGCATCCCAAGGGGATCTGGTACGATCTTTCATTTTCTGCCAAGAGGAGAAGGCAGCAGAGAGTAGCTTCCTGTGTGAGAAGGCTGTGCTTCCCTCCTTCTATGAGTTTCTCCCACCAGGAAATAGATTATCCTGTGATGTCATAGAGGCCTCTGGAGTTATCTTCTGTTGCCTAATATGAAGGGTGCCTCACAGATTACCTCTTGGAAAATTGTCACCTGAAGACATCTATAATGGAGCAGTAGCCGTTCCCTCCAGTTCTGGTGCTGCCTGTCTGCCTTCATTTTCTTGGTCTGGATCTTGTGTTGCCTCTTACCCAGATCTGACCTTTAATAGCTACTATGAGTCAGCTCTCTTTATTTAGTGAAAAATATCTTCAATAAACACTGTCAAAATATTACCCATATTGAAATAGCATAGTACTGATTTCAATCACCTCATTAATTAATGTAATCAGGTACAAGTTAATTATGCAGCTGTAAGATAGTTAATCAAACTTTTTAGTTGAAGGCTATATTGGGAAGACTGAGACACTGATATTCAGATATCAACAGGGTAAAGACCAAGAAATGGAACATTCAAGAGGGGGATAATAACTTTTCTCTTCAATGAAAGGGGATTAGCCTCACAATTCCTGCTAGTGCAAGCACAGGTGAATATTCAAGAAGATGATAAGGGATTTGCTTAAATCATGGAAAATTTTCTCCCAGTGAAAATATTTAACCAGATGGATGTTTCCAGAGAGACAACTCATACTCTGATGTTTACCAGAAGTCATTTATCTTACCTACCTTTGAGCATTTTAACTGCCACAGTCTCACAGCTGTTACTCTTATTAATTCCAAATGCAGAGGCTTCCATCACTTTCCCAAAGGCTCCATGGCCAAGAACTTTACCTGAAAAATAACAGAAAATGAGCAGGATAAAAGTAGAGCTGGGATGAAAAGAGAGGAACTCATTCAAAGACCCTATAAATCAGTAATTGCGAATGAGACCAAAACAAAACAGGAAACCGGGACAAAAAGAAGAAAAGGTGTGAAAAGGAAAGAGGAAGGAATGGAGTTTTCACCATCTCCAGGTGGTTGCATTTTCAGAGAAAGGGCCAGGAGGGAGGAAATGAAACAGACCCAGTGGCAACAAAGCAGAGGAAGGAAATAGCTAGCTAAGGAGAGGTGCCATTTGTTGCCCTTAAGCAGAGCGTGTGGGAGAGGTGAGGGCAACTCTTTGGACAAGACTGATTCATCATTGGTCTATCCACTGTTTGCCTGTCTGTCTTTTACATACAATGTTGATTCTTTGGATGCTGCAAATAGGTCATGTGTGAGAACACACTGCTGAGTATGATGATGGATGATTTGATGAGAGACCAACACTGGGTTCTGACATTTTTAGTTAACTGGTGTATTTTGTAATGGATATCAATGGTCAGAAATGGCAACTGGAATCACAGTAGTACAGCAATATATATATATAAATAAATAAATATATTACACTCATTCTGCGTTGCTACATCTTACCTAGCCTGAGTCGTTCTCGAGGGAACTCCCATTTGCTAGAATCATAAGGTAGGTATTCACATTGCTCCTCCAAGGGAACTTCACCTGGGTCCATAATGATGGAAAGGTAGCCAGTCTTGATGTCCGCATGAGCAGGCTTGCAGGAAAAAAAGAAAAACTGATAGGCCTCTGTCATTTTGCAACAAGCATGTATCACTGCACTGTTTTTTTTCAAGTTCTATGCCTTTACACTGAACTTCATATATCCTGGCAAAGCAAGGTGGGAAAAGTGGATGGTCTGGCATGTTGACATTAATACTGTTACATCTCATCCCGGCAGAAATAGGTATGTCTCTGAAAGAAAACATTTACTGTTAACCCTGCAAAAATGGTAATTAGTGACGGGCATGAACCGGGAAAATGCTGTTCAGTTCATGACATGCCCGGTTTGCGAACCACAAACCGTCATGAACTTTTATCTGTCAAACTGGTTCAGTTTGTGAAGTTTGTGATGTGGTAGAACATCCCCTCCCCGACATGTTAGAGATACCAGACTTGCAGGGGATCTCTGGCTGACCCTCCTCTACTTGCCCTCCAAGTTTGGCGAGGATTGGATTTACATGGTCCGAGTTATGGCCCGCCAAAGAAGGCGCCCCAGGAAAGTCCATTCTGGGGAAATGACAGGTGCATGTTCAGGAGTGCATAGAACAGATCCTGTGCAACCTGGAGACATTGAAGTCACAGGGGACCTCCCCTGGATGCTCCTCTACATGCTGCCCAGATTCTGCCCCCCCTGTTGCATTGAAATTTGGTAAACATTTAGACTGAGCAGAGACTGTCGGGAAATGCATCCATTCATGAATTGCCTTGAAGCCCCATGAATAGCTTGAGGGTTCGTGGGAAGTATGTGAACCATGAACCAGCCAAAATTTGTCACAAACTTTAGTTCGTGAGCTGATTTGTGCCCATCTTTAATGGTAATTCTTCCACTTCTCTTAGTTAGTTCCTGCACAAGGAATTTCACACTCCAGAAAGTTAATCCTTTGGCTGTGAAACATTCCAGTCTGGTTTGAGACAGGGAAAATCAACATTATGGGGGCAAAATATTGCTGTATTTAGGTTCTTTTTGTTTTCCTTCCACAGCAAATTGCTGTGGAAATTTTGATTTTCCTTCCACGGCAAATTGCTGTGGAAATTGCTGGAGCCACTTTTGGTTCCAATGAAATCCAGCTATTTCTCTGCCTCAACACTGAACTTCTTATATCCTGGCAAAGCAAGGTGGGAAAAGTGGATGGTCTGGCATGTTGACATTAATACTGTTACATCTCATCCCGGCAGAAATAGGTATGTCTCTGAAAGAAAACATTTACTGTTAACCCTGCAAAAATGGTAATTAGTGACGGGCATGAACCAGGAAAATGCTGTTCAGTTCATGACATGCCCGGTTTGCGAACCACAAACCATCATGAACTTTTAGCTGCCAAACTGGTTCAGTTTGTGAAGTGGTAGAACATCCCCTCCCCGACATGTTAGAGATACCAGACTTGCAGGGGATCTCTGGCTGACTCTCCTCTACTTGCCCTCCAAGTTTGGCGAGGATTGGATTTACATGGTCCGAGTTATGGCCCGCCAAAGAAGGTGCCCCAGGAAAGTGCTTTCTGGGGAAATGACAGGTGCATGTTCAGGAGTGCATAGAACAGATCCTGTGCAACCTGGAGACATCGAAGTCACAGGGGACCTCCCCTGGATGCTCCTCTACATGCTGCCCAGATTCTGCCCCCCCTGTTGCATTGAAATTTGGTAAACATTTAGACTGAGCAGAGACTGTCTGGAAATGCATCCATTCATGAATCGCCATGAAGCCCCATGAATAGCTTGAAGGTTTGTGGGAAGTATGTGAACCATGAACCAGCCAAAATTTGTCACAAACTTTAGTTCGTGAGCCGGTTTGTGCCCATCGCTAATGGTAATTCTTCCACTTCTCTTAGTTCCTGCACAAGGAATTTCACACTACAGAAAGTTAATCCTTTGGCTGTGAAACATTCCAGTCTGGTTTGAGACAGGGAAAATCAACATTATGGGGGCAAAATATTGCTGTATTTAGGTTCTTTTTGTTTTCCTTCCACAGCAAATTGCTGTGGAAATTTTGATTTTCCTTCCACAGCAAATTGTTGTGGAAATTGCTGGAGCCACTTTTGGTTCCAATGAAATCCAGCTATTTCTCTGCCTCAAGGGGGAAACTCAGCACAAGAAATGGGGAAATAAAGAGTTGGGAGTATGGTTCTCTGGTAGAATTGTCTCTCATTCATGGGTCTGCTTGTGGGTTAGCAAATGAGAATCAGTCAGAGAGAAGGTAAAACAGAGAACACTTACTCTCTTAATGTTGCAGAAAATCAGAATTAGGAGAATCCAGAAGAAGATGGCAATGACACCAGTCCCAATTAAGATAACAATCTCCACATTGGTCCTGTCGTCTGAGCCTACAGGTCAGGAAGAACAATAGTAGAAATAGCAGTAGAAGAGAAATCAAAACATACATGTAGCAATACCAAGGACATGTTGATCAAAAAAGAGACAGTAGGTGAGCAAGAAGAAATACTAATGGAAATATACTAGGTTTCTTTTAGGTTGGGCCAAGAATAGGACAGTATTATTTTTGTAGTTTAAGGAAAGAAGGTGCCTTTGATCCATGAAACATCTCAAAAGGCTTCTTTTTCTTTCTACGTTCTTTCCAAAAAAATATTTCCCTCTAGGGACACAGGGACTGAAGTTAGCAATACTACCTTCTACAGAGACACTGGCAGAAGAATTCACACAACCCTTGGCATTGCAGACACTACACAAGTAGAGGCCAGCATCCTCTTCTCTCACTCTCTGGATACTCAGCCTCTGATTGGAATCTGCCAGATCAATCCCTGAAACACACATAAGGATAAAGATTTTGAGGTGTCAGCTAATGGAATCTGAAGAAGAAGAAGAAGAAGAAATTGGATTTATACCCCACCCTTCACTGCCCGAAGGAGTTTCAGAGCGGCTTACAATTCCTTTCCCTTCCCCTCCTCTGTGAGGTAGATGGCACTGAGAGAGCTCTCCTGAGAACTGTCTTTGAGAGAACAGCTCTGAAAGAACTTGTGACTGACCCAAGGTCACACCAGCAGCTGCATGTGGAGGAGGGGGGAATTAAACCTGGGGAGGGTTTACATTAAGGTAACCTCCAAAGAGCAGAAACCTGACCTAAAATTTGACCAACCATTATGTTCAAAGTGATTTCAGTTTCTCTAACCATCAGTCTCAACTTTCTTTTGGACAAATAATAGCAAGTTTTTAGTTCCCATTATCATGGATAAAGGCCAAAAACTGTGCAGTCAATATTTGAAGACCTGAAAGCCAGAGAAGATTTCCAGTGGTATCAGGGACACATGGCAGTTCCACAGTTTATTTTTTTTCAGCTTGTTAATATATAAAACACAATTTTAAACAGATGAATGGTAGATTGCCAATCCATGACACCAATCTTTTTGTGCTGTTTTGCTTTTACAGCACAAATGTACTCTGAGATATATTCCAACATGATTTGGCTTGCCCATGCAGATCAGTAGAACTAAAGGAGCCAAAGGAGCCACTTGCTCACGTTTATGAGAACTGCACGTACTATTAGAAATTTTCCTGAAGTTTTTAATCTTACAAATGATGAAACAAACGGCTTTATCTGAAAAAATATCCTGCCTTATAGCAAACTCCCCCCTCCAGGCTCCACTCCCAAAATCTCCAAGTATTTCTCAACCTGGAGCTGGCAACCTTAGTGGCTGGGGAGGAGGTGAGCTTCAAAACAGCTGCAAGAATAGAATCTAAATTGCCTGCCTGAGCTTTGGACACATAGTCACAATTTAAATAGCCAGTCATCTGAACTTTCAGAGCTCTGTATCCAGAGCCTTGCCAGTCCTGCTCTTCCCACCCACTGACCTTTTCAGTCAGCCATACCTGACACCTCTTCTACAAGCTTCTCATCCTTATACCAGTTGATGTTCGGAATATGTGTGCCATCAACCCTGCAGCGCATCTCTATGGAATCACTCACATTCACCAAGATGTCTGTCAGGTTGTGCTTCAACCTTGGGACTTCCAAAGCTAAAGTAGTAGCAATCAAATAATAAAGGTGGTCAACAACATAGTGACTATCAAGAGTAAAATACAAAAAACGATGGGCATGTAGATGACTTTGACCTTACGATGCATGCATAGACACCACAGAAAATTACCATGAGCTGGAAGCCCAGAAAAACCCTGCACCTTTTATACTTTCAAAATGCATAAAACTTTCACAGCCCTGATGCAGCAAGGCTACGGGGAGAATAAGTGTTGCATTTCTTTTCAGATGTGACTTCTGTGTTTGGCGAGAGGTTGCATTGTTAAGGTTCTATAGCTGATCATTAGCTAAACTAAGGTCTCAGTTCACAATCTAAGTGCTGGTGAAGACATATTGGCTTGGATCTAGTGATACGCAAGTGGAAACATTAACAGATTTAGTGCAGTTCTGCTTACTCAAGATCTCGTTCAACACCCAACATTTTCCTCCCTGTATATTACAGTGCCTAGAAACTGGTTGCACAAGATCTTGCACAACTGGAAACACAAGTAGAAATTAATTTGGTGCAAGCAGTTCCTGCAATCTTTTTCTTGCATTTCTGCTTGTGCAAGAGTTCCACTGCAAGTAGAAATTTTGCACTGGATCAGTAGCTATGGTGGGGCCTGTAGCTACGGTAGGACCACTGGGGGCTCTGCCCCCTCCCTTAAAGGGATAGCCCCACAATAATTTCTTCAAAAATGATTTTAAAATAATTTTAAAAACATTTTTTAAAGGATTGTGTGAATGAAGGAAGGGAAGGGAGGCTTGGAAAATAGAGGGAAGTGCAGTTATTTACAGACAATTTTTTTATTTGAAAAATAATGGCAGCCCCAACAGAAAAAAAATTACCCCACAAGCTGAGATGAGCTAGGTGCTTCCTTCTCTCACCTCTTCTTTCTGGAGAATAACTCTCTCCCACTTGCAGATGAATGTTGTGCCACCAACAACAGGGTGGCAATTTTTGAACTATTCCTTTAATTGTTTGATCTGGAGAATTTAGGACGGGATAATCTTTAGCTCTATGCAGGGAAAAGCTTCATTACAGATTGTCTCCTCTTCATCCCAAACTAGGATAAATCTGGGATAGTGATTGGTAACAGTTCCCTGCAACTTTGTTCCAACCAAGTTTTCTCTTTCCCATTTACCCTTCACACCTCAAAATCCCAACAAGCCTGTTCAATGCAGTGCTTACCGTGCACAGAAATATACTTTTTGTGGCAATGTTTCTCACTGTTCTCCCGGTTCTGCACTTCACAGACATAGTCTCCCTCATCCTCTAGTGAGATATTTGGGATTGTAAGTGTCAAAGTGGCATAGTTGGAATTAGGTTTGAAGTGCAGTTCGCCTTGCATTTTAGTTGCATAGTGATGGACATTCTTGCAATCCAGGACCAGGGGGTTGCCCTCTTCATCGTGCAGCTTTGAGAGGTTGAGCCGGTACCACTGCAGGTTCTCATAGGTATAATTGTCAGCATTGCAGCTTAGCCTCAGGTCTTGTCCTTCAATGGGGTCTTCCGAAGGCTGTGACTCAATTTCAAATCCATTTGGAATGGCTACCAGGAAGTCAAGGTAAGGAAACAAATGTCTAATTGAGATTTTAAAGCTTATGTCAGATTATGTTCACAGGATAGTATTCGGTTTATGTTTATTTATTTCTTAAAATAAATTTGTAAATTAAATAACAACATTAAGATTAATCCAATTCCATGTTAAAGTACATGACAAGTTGGGGGGAAGGGCCATTGCTGGTTACTGTTCATTGACATGTCACTATTTAAATGCATACTCAATTGACTAGGTTTCAAATAACTTGGCTTCCTTAGCACCTTTCGCTTAGTCCAGATATACAAAAGAATCTATACATAAACAAAACTGCAGACTTATCTCTACAGACAGCAGATGATGACAATATTTATATGTAGGTGAAATATGTGTTAATTAAGCAAAGAGCAATGTAGACATTGTGCTGGAGGGTTCAGCTCGAATTAGGTTTCACCATTTCACAAATGTTGGGTTGGGATCTTTCATTGGTGAACAAACATGCATTCCTATTTGTACATGCAGTAGTTATTTTTCTTTGCCAAGCAGAAACGACCCTTTGCTTTCAAAGAATTCCAATCACACCTATCTATTTAAATGCTACCGTTGAGAAAACAAACCCTCAGTTTAAATAATGGAACCAGTATACCGTTATCCATTCCATGCTGGGAACAGAGCACTAGGGGGTGCTACTACACCAGAAACATTTTGCAGTTTTATGTTCCAGATTTTTATTGAAGTTTTGAACTCTTCATTCACAGGAAGTATGACGGGGGAACCTGGGCTAAGAAGAGATCAACATATTTTCTGTCCTCCAGCTCCAGAACATGCATATCATTTTGCTCTGCAGGAGAGACTAAACTGGCTTTTAACTATCTATATACTGGTCAGTTTCCCCAAGATATAGAATATTTCTGCTCAATGAGAAACCAATTTGAAATATGGATGCCTAAATGCATTTATTAATCTGGATATTTATACCCTGCTTTCCCCTCTGATAGAGAACCAAAGCAACTTACAACATCATTCTCCTCACAACAACTCTGGGAGGTAGCCAAAAGAGAGTGACTGGCCCAAGGTCACCCACCAAGTTTCCATGGCAGAACAGGGATCTGAAACTTGATCTCCCAGATTCTAGTCTAACACGGTCATCACTATACTGTGCTGGTACAAAGAATATATAATCATTGGCCAAATGAAAAGTTTAAAATATAAACTAAAGTTTCTTCGAGTTTGCTTATGAAACTGTTCCCTCCCAATTAAAAGTTTTTGCAGACGAGAGGGGGGTGGAGGCTGGAATGTGGGAAACGACAAATTATACTGGAATGTGGGAAACTACAAATTTTGAACAAGGAAAAGGTTTTAGTCCATCTCATGCATCATGAAGATCAGTGTCTTCCAATGATCTGCATCTGAATTATCTTGAGATCCTAAATGTCCATACTAACACAGGTAATTGGCTGCTTATGAGCACAAGATAAGAGTGGTCTGATTAATACTCTGAGCCCCACCAAGTTTCCATGGCAGAACAGGGATCTGAAACTTGATCTCCCAGATTCTAGTCTAACACGGTCATCACTATACTGTGCTGGTACAAAGAATATATAATCATTGGCCAAATGAAAAGTTTAAAATATAAACTAAAGTTTCTTCGAGTTTGCTTATGAAACTGTTCCCTCCCAATTAAAAGTTTTTGCAGGCGAGAGGGGGGTGGAGGCTGGAAAAAAAAGTTTTGTTAACTTTTGAGTCTATTCACACATTATACTGGAATATGGATAAACTGGAATGTGGGAAACTACAAATTTTGAACAAGGAAAAAGTTTTAGTTTATCTCATGCATCATGAAGATCAGTGTCTTCCAATGATCTGCATCTGAATTATCTTGAGATCCTAAATGTCCATACTAACACAGGTAATTGGCTGCTTATGAGCACAAGATAAGAGTGGTCTGATTAATACTCTGAGCTGAATGGCTTCCAAGAACGGCTAAGGATTTTCAGAGGTCTTTTCAAACACTTTTTGTGAATGGACTGCTTGAACAACTGTCATATAGAAAGCCAAAGGGGTTATCCCCTTTGCATTCTGATACTCACTGGTGACATAGAAATAGATCAGGCGTTCATCCCGACCAACTTTGTTGGAGGCTACACACTTGTACATAACAGAAATGCTGGCTTCTTGGATGACCAGTTTGCTGACCGTCTAGTAGAGGAAGAGAAAGAAATATGAATGACATTTATAATGGAGAGGTGCAAGATCTTCACAACTCCTTACCAACTTTTCAGGAGAAAGGATAATGTTGCTATATCCCTAGGGAATGGGTAAAACAGGAGATCTAACAAACAGGCCAGGCCTCCAGGCATCCCTGAATTTCCCACTTCATTAAAAAAAGAAGTTTCTACTTCTTTTTTGTTGGAGAGATAGAAAGGAAAATGTGAAAGCAGTTTCCCCCAGGATTGCCTGGAAAGCAATGGGTAGGCTTGCCAGGTGTCTGCTTATGGTGGACAAACTCCCGGTAATTTTAGCTGCTGCCCCTTTAATGCTCAGATAGTCAGTGGGTGGAAACAGGCCTGCCAAACTGGGTATGAAGAATGAGGAACCCCAGAGACAGAAGCTTTGAAGGCCAGAAGGTAGGCTGGCTATTGTCTTATAATGCCACGCTCAAAGAAATGGTTCTGTACAATGAAAAGGACAGACAGGGACACTGCTATCCAGTCTCTCCCCCCCCCCCCCCCGCAGCAATAGTGATTTCCTTTTCCAGAGTCTAACTATCTGAAGGGCTAACCAGTTAAGTCAGAATTTCAGGATATTTACAAATGTTTTCTTTACATTCTTCATCTTCCTAACTAGCAACCGAAAGGCAATATAAAAACTAGATATTATAGTTATATAGTCATACAAGACAATAAAAAGGTAGCAGAGAGGGAAAGAAATATGAAAAAAGATGGAGGACTATTCAAAATTGCAATCCCAATATTCATTCTTTTGGTTTAGTTGTTGAATTACTAATCCAGGTTTAAACAGAACAACAAGAGAATTGTTTCCCTCACTCCTTTCTCCCTGTGAAGAACTCCTGAAAGGGACATTGGAACAGGACGTGATTTTGGAGGTTCTCACAAAAACAGGAAGTGACTTTAGGAAACTGGGAGCCATTTATTTGTTCTTTAGCCTAGATCACTATGATGCATGTATGATTGGTGACTGACATTCTCACCTTGAACGGGAAGCTAGTAATAGAGTAACACGCATGCCTCTGGCACTTATTGCTACCAGATATTATGGAAAGAAACCAGCTATTAAATGCTGACTAGTCTTTGACAGGGTCATCAGAAAGGGCAAGAAAAATACTCTTCCACTGAGGAAATGCAGTATAAGATTCAATGGAACTTCTCATGTTCAGGGCTGCCCTGGCCAAATCAGATATGACAGCAACAGAACCATGAGTGAAAAAACTAAGTGTGTGGCTGAACTGTATATATAAAAGGAGGGTTTGATTTAAAATGTAGCATGGACAATGGGGGGAATGAACCCTCCACAGCCCTTGATTTTCATCCCTTTACTGCTTTGTCCCAGTCCCCCCCCCATTCAAAAGGACAGGAAACCTTTCCTGGGAGAATACTGGCTAGGCATGGGGGGGGGAGCAGGGAGGGATTCAAATCCCTCCTCTCAACGGAAGCTGCACTTTCAACTGTCCCCTTTGCTTTATATAAAGTTACCAGAACCAGAATTGGGTCTGCTGCTGTGCTATCTAGCTATTGGCTATATTCTGGCTTCAGTATATGGAAATGACCCATCTCTGTCCTTTCAGTTTAGCCATTTAGGTGCTATAGAATGTATGTAAAGTTGCCAGCTACCACATGGTAGCACATGGAAAGGTGGCATAGAAATGTTTTAAATTAATTAAATCTGCCAACAGCCTAGCAGTGAAATCCTGTGTATTCCAACTTAAACTCATCAGTTTCTGTGTCCTTCAACTATGGCAACTCCACACAGAGCTGGGATGTTAGTCTACCAACCAGCTTAAAGTACTGGGGAGAAGTGGTACAGATACCTGACAACGAATGACTGCTGGAAAGGGACCCAAGGTATTACAAAAAAAGTGCAAAGTTGTATAGGTTTCTGTTCATATACAATTTTGCTATGAGTACTTCTACCACAGAGAGACATACATATATAGAGACAGTAATATGGGAAGAAAGTTCATAATGACATCACATATCCTATCACAAGGAGCCACCTCAGGCAAGTGTCTGGAGAAGCGGCTGATACATTTAAAAACTAATAATAAAAAACTCGCGTTGACCAGGACCAGGTCATTTTCAGTGGCGGCCCCTACCTGGTGGAATGAGCTCCCAGAAGAGATCAGGGCCCTGCAGGACCTTATGCAGTTCCGCAGGGCCTGAAAGACGGAGCTCTTCCACCAGGCTTTTACGTAGGGGCCGCCGCTATTACCACCACCACCAACGGTGGTAATTCCAACTGGACCTGGACTACCCTGGGAAATACAGCTTCCCCGTGTGACATTAACATCTACTGGAGAGTGGTACCCCAACGGGGCCGACTGAAGACCAGAGACACCGCCATCACCAAAGACCATCTTGCTGTGAAGCACTTATTTATTTATTGTTATATATGATTGCTGCTATGTTTTTATTGTTTTATGGATTTTATGTATGGGCTGTCGCCCTCTGTAAGCCGCCCTGAGCCCACTTGCGGGGAAGGCGGGGTAAAAATACCTAAATAATTAATTAAATAAATAAATAAATATCCACAAATTGCTAATTCAGACAATTCATCTTGAACTTTTTTTAAAATTGTTCAGTATCTACAGGTATTATTTCCAATTAATTCTTTGTGAGCTCCCATTCCTAAATTCTTCATATCTGATTTTTTCCAAAGTAAACATTAACAGTTGAAATTTTATTTCTTAACAGTTATTATTTTGATATTATTACATGCATGCCTCTAGAGAAATAATCCCACAAAACATGAATGCAAAATACTATACTGGAATTGGCACGTAACAGATGCTAGTAAGTCTTTCACCCCTCAAACTTTGTTAATATTGTCTATCTTGAGTCACAGAGAGGGGAGTAAATAGCAGTGGAAATGGCAACGTGAGCATATGAAGTCTTAAAGAAACAACTTTCTTGGTTCATTTTAACACAAGATAAGCAGCTGTGAGTGAAACAGTAAAGAACTTCTAAAGGCAGTCAGAATAATATTCCATTTGCTCAGTCCTATCTCAACAGTTTGATTTTTGACACATATTTCAGTAACACCTTTTCTATTGCCATCAGCCTTAGATAATTCAATGCCATTACAAACAGCTACAAAGTGAAAAACATACGGGACGTGGGTGGCAAGATATTTTATGAATCAGGATCCTTGTTATAATTCTTCTTGGTACAAGGAAATTACAGCAATTTTGAATGGAAGAGATCTCTAACTTTCCAGTTCTCAAACCAAGCTATTTCCCCCCACTTTAGAGCCCTGACTTGCTTGCCTTTGTAGATGCTCCTTGGCTCAGGGTCTCTTGGTCTGGTAGCCTCCTGGGCCAATATAGACTTGTAAACTGTCCTCCATGCATGTGAGGCAGTCCCACCCCCGGCCAGTGTCAAGGTCAAAACGGCTATACTGGTACACAACCCACTTCAAATCATATTACGCCACCTTATACTAGTCAGATCTTTGATCTGTCTAGCTCAGTATTATTAGTTTCACTGGCAGCAGCTTGAACCTTCTGCATATAAAGCATTTCTCCACTGAGCAGGCAGCCTTCAGATTCAACTCTGGGCCAATGCATACAACCATATAGGGCTCAGCTTTTTAAGGTAAAACTGGATTCACCATGTCATTTTCACTATTTACTTACTTACTTCACTATGTGATTTCACCATATAGCAAAAAGTATACAGAGCTTTCCCTGCCAAACAGAAATTGTTCTTCCAAACGGAAACTCAACACATCCTCATTCCATCCACTTCAGCAACTTTTTCATGGATGCAGAGAACTTCTGCTTGGAGAGGCATACCAACAGTTGCATAACTGGATGACCTTGTGGTACAGCCAACTCAAGTTGACTATGCATTAAAAATAAGCTAAAACTGGTCTGTTCTGAGCAGATGCCATCTCATCAGTTTGAGGTCTCTTTCTTCTACCTCCTTCCAGTACAGAAAGGAAACAGGGAATGGCCTTACCTTGTTCCTTCCTTCCACAAACTCTGTCCAGGTGTCAATACTCTCAATGGGGTTCACAGCATCCTGCTGCGATACATCCTTCCAGTCCTTACATTCGGGCATCCGGTCCCGTTGATGGCGACGTGCAGCCCTCCTCCTGCTACTTTTTATCCAGAAATCATGAAAAAGGAGATACAGAAACAGGAGATCTCATTAGCAGGAAAGGTACCTGTTGAGAGGGGTGTAGGAGAAACCCGCAGAACAGGATATTATATAACTATTATGAATAGTGAATGAGAACAATTATAAATTCTTGCAGTTGGAATATGTTGTACAGTGGGCAGTTCTGAAGCTTGCAGGCCTTATGGGTGTGTGTTCTAATATGAACAGATGTGACATGTTGTATTTTTCTGCAAAAAGTAGATCGGCTAACCGTCATTTAAGAGTTGAAGAGAAAATGCTATATGGTATGCTGGATTATGGATCAAAAGATATTTGCTGGGAAATCAGCATCAGGTATACAGCACAGTATAACATGGGTATGTACTAGAGCACAGATGAGCAACTGGTGGCCCATCATTCTTGCTCCCAAACAGTTGTCAGGCATTAGAGTGGCTCCCAAGAATTCAGAGACTAGATATCCTTTAGTTGGGAGGAAGGGAAACACAATGGCATTAGTGTATCCCACAGCAAGAAGGAGAATCTGTGTAAACAACAGGAAATCATGATGAAGCCTCCTGCATCCTCTGGGCTGAGCAGAAATGTTATGGCCTTGGGAGACAGTGCTCATAATTCACCAACTCTTCTTTGTGACAAGACCACAAAGCTTTCTGATGGGACTGGAAATGCCCTTCTTTCCTCAATAAGTCACACAGCACATTTATGGCGGCAGTATTTACATAGGCACCACACTTCCACCAAGATCCATAATGCTCCCTCTCACATTCTTCTCTACCTTGGTGGCCTCTTTTAAGCTTTCTGTCTTTCTGAAGTTCCTCAAAAATCTTCTGATAGCTCTATCTAAAAGAAGCTAGGGCAGTTTCATTCCTACATCTTAACCATTTAGTGATGTTATATACATTTATTAACTACACTTCTACAACTACTTTCACTCAGAAGAATGTTCCATTTTATGGGGCTTGCTCCCAGAAAAGTGCTTAGGATTGCTGTTAGCATACTAATGAGGCTATCACATGGATTTTTCATCTGCCTGTGTAAACACATCTTGTCTTCAGATTTGTGTTCCTTAGGCTGCGATCACACACACTAAATAATCCAATTTCAATCCACTTTCGAACTGGATTTCGCCAGTTCACACAGTAAAAATCCAGTTTGAAAGTGCATTGAAAGTGGATTATTGAGTGTGTGTGATCGCAGTCCTAGTTTTGCACATTTCAGCAACATTATTTCCCCCCACATTTCTTGAATTCTTCCCCACATGCTGTACAAGAATTTATGCTCAGGCCGATGCCACTTTTACCATGTCATTGCCTCTTCTGGATATTTTTGCAGTACTTCTTTCCATTTGAAACTTCTCTGTCTGTTAGGGCTTCCTTTGTTCTATGATTGTATTTTAGCTTTTGAAAAGTACTTTTGTACTTCATTTGCATCTGGTTTTTGCAACCCCATTTCCCCTTCCCTGAATTTAATCCACTATATTCTAAGATTAAATAGATCCGTCTCACTAACCTGCCTCCAGTCTGTCTCAAGCCACAAATTATGCAATCTTTAAAGAATAATACACACCACTCTACAAATTTACACATTTGTGCAAATAGTTATAAATCGACTTTCTCCTTCACTTGGTGTTCTGGCGAAGCGTTTGTGTTTTTCAAGTGCACCATTTCTTCTAGGTGCACACAGTACGCTTGGAATAAATTAGCTTTCTTCTCTACAACTGATATCAAAATAGCTGCTCAAAATTGCCCAACATGTATTGGGAGCTCCTGTATACAAAGAATTCATTGCATGGAAAGGTGCCATGTGATGTTATTTAAAAAGCAAGCTCTGCATCACATGCATTGACCTTAAAGCATGCCAAGGCCATCCTCTCTCTATTAGGAATCCAGGGAAGGTCTAAAGAGGAAAGCTACTTACAGACTGCGGCGGGAGAACATCCGGCAGGGTGTCCAAGGCCTCCACTGCCACTGGATTTTTTCTGGTGCTGGGATGCCATAGACAGTGCATGTGAGTGCTTGCCGACTCTTACGGGAATAGATGTTTGGTGAGGATGCTTCTTTCTCATGGATCTGTGGAGGAACTGAAATAGCAAAATACAAATATATCACCCTTAGCAATAACAGCTCTGGGGCTGGTTACTTGTTCCAACCCTCCCCTTGCCCAAGCCATTGCTTGAACCAACTTTTAACTTCCTATGAGCAAACCAGTGCTAAATAACGACACTGTAATATCCAGCAACCTGGCACCTCTATTTTTAGAAATTAAACACTGAATATGATAGGCAAAGTTGCGTAAGATTAGATTAGATACTTTTAACGCATGGGAGGGTCTTTTTTATTTCTTTAAAAGCACTTAAGTGCTGGACTAGCTCCAGACAGTCTTACATTTTCACCCTTTTTTAGCATGTTGACATCATGGTGATATAAAACTGCAGATAATTAAGTCCTAATAAAACCCCTTAATTTCCCCCATTCCCATTTCACCTTGTGGTTTGCCACTTCCTGTCCCCCCCCCCTTTGTAGAGGTTTGCCAACAACCCAGCCTTGACATTCAGGTCTGCTACTGTCATTTCTAGTTTGTCCCAGATTTTTTTTAATTGCTCCATCTTCTAGTATATTTTCACTTACATGAATGGCATCCCATCAGGAAATGCTGCATGAGCTAACAAGACTCAAATTACAAGGTGGTCATGGAAATCCCACTTCTTGCAACGGCACCATTAGCTATCGCTTTTAGACAGCTACTGGGGGCAGGGGTGAAAATTGGTGGGGCTTACAGATGTCATTAAAGATCTTTACTTTCCCCCCCCAGAAGTCAAGCACCTGATAAGGGTGAGTGGGACATGAAATGTGTATACACTTCTCAGTCAGAATAACAGGGCTGCACTTACCTGTAACTGTTGTTCATCGAGTGGCCTTCTGTGCAGGCACACATAGGAATGCACTTGCACAGGCCTGCTGCAGCTGGAGGGAATGACCTGGCCCATGAGGGGAGGGGGCAAAGCACTCCAAATCTTCTAGAGAACTTTAAAGAAAAAGATCTCTGTGGCAGACCTGTGCAAGCGTGGTCCCATGTGGGACTGCCCAGAAGCCACGAAGATGAACAATGTGGTTCCTCTCCAGATTTTGAGGAAAGAGATTATTTTTCCAGACAGAATGTATTAGAGGAAGGATTAAGAGGTCCAGCTACAGAGTCAAGGAGAGGTACGGTTCTTGGGACAAACTGACTGATCCCATCCCTGGCTCCCTCTACCATAAGGACACATTACTAGAGAGCCTCCTGGGACAGTTCAAGGGGGGCCCCTCTACTGGAAGCAGTGCACAAGCCTAGACCCTCACACCTGCAAATGGCATTGCTGGCTCCAGGTACAATACAAATGGCACTGCTGACTCCACGTACAAACTGAATGTCCTGGAATCCTCTGTGATGATGCTAAGAAGTCTGAGGCATGGAGACTTATTTACTTTATCACCTTTTGTACCCTACCCTTCTTTCAACAAACATGGGGATTAGCCCATTTTACCTTCACAACAACCCTGTGAGGTAGATTAGGCTAAAGACAGGACTAGATGTAACAAGAGACAAACAGCAGCTCCATGTATCTTATGGGTGATCCCTGAGAGGAAGACTGGTCCAAGACCAATGCTCCCTCTAAGCTGTGGAGTCCTGTGAGCAAAAAATCTACTTTGTGAGCTGCTGGCATTAAAGTTCTGAGTGAGCAATTTGGCTGCTGCATAAACTACTTTGCTCTGGAGCCATCCTTCCTGAGCTGAGAGAAAAATGTGTGAGCTGGAGGCTAAAAAACTGTGAGCTAGCTCACACTAACTCAGCTTAGGGGGAACACTGTCCAAGACCACCAGTGACTTTCATGGTTCAG